TTTGGAGGAACTGCAAATGTTGGGTTTGGCTGGAAACCAGATATCTGGGAGTATTCCAAGCTCCCTTGGCAATCTTCGAAAGTTAAACCAAATTGATTTATCAGGAAACCAATTGGTGGGTGAAATTCCTTCTGCTTTTAAGAACTTTCAGAATCTGCTTTCCTTAGATTTGTCCAATAATATGCTCAATGGAAGCATTGCTGGAGAAATTCTGAATCTCCAAAGTTTGAGCACTCTCTTGAATCTTTCTAGGAATTTTCTAAGGGGACCTTTGCCTCAAGAGATTGGGCGCTTAGGAAGTATTGTTACAATTGACCTGTCTAAGAACCGTTTCTCAGGCAATATTCCCAGCTCAATTGGAAGCTGTAACAGCTTGGAGGAGTTATTCATGGCTGAGAATATGCTATCAGGTCCAATTCCTAGTGCTCTAGGAGAAGTGAAAGGCTTGGAAACATTAGATCTCTCCTCAAACCAACTTTCTGGCTCCATTCCTGTAGATCTTCAAAAACTACAGGTTCTCAAGTCCTTGAACCTTTCTTTCAACGACCTCGAAGGGACAATTCCAACTGGTGGCATTTTTAGCAATCTTTCTAGCGTCCATTTGGAAGGAAACCCAAAGCTTTGCTTGAGCTCGGCATGTAAGAAGACCCAAGGTCATGGAAGATTATTAGTCAAAGTTTATGTTAGTATCACTATAATTATAACATTAGCTGCGTGCTTAATTGTTGGCTTGTTGCTCTACAAGAAGAAAAGCAAGGTAAATATCACGGGAATTTCTGAATTGCTCAAGGAGCAGCATCAAATAATCTCTTATGATGAGATTCGTAGAGCAACTGATAATTTCAAACCTGAAAATTTGATTGGAAGAGGGAGCTTTGGGTCAGTGTATAAAGGGTGTCTTAGAGATGGTGTTCGAGTTGCAGTCAAAGTCCTTAACAAGGAAAGGACAGGATCTTGGAAGAGTTTTCTAGCAGAATGTGAAGCTCTGAGAAACGTGAGGCACCGCAATCTTGTCAAACTAATCACATCATGCTCAAGCTTGGACTATCAAAACATGGAATTTCTAGCCTTAGTGTACGAGTTCCTTGTTAATGGAAGCGTTGAAGACTGGATTGAGGGCAAGAGAAGGAACGCACATGGAGATGGGTTGAACATTATGGAAAGATTGAATGTGGCCATTGATGTTGCGAGCGCATTGGATTACATGCACCATGATTGTGAAGTTCCAGTGGTGCATTGTGATTTGAAGCCGAGCAACATTCTTTTAGATAAAGACATGACTGCCAAAATAGGCGATTTCGGGTTAGCCAGGTTGCTCATGGAGAGATCAGAGGCTCTACAGTCCCTTGGCTCCACGTATGACCTAAGGGGTTCTATTGGTTACATACCTCCAGGTTAGTAACAAGTTAACAATTCTCCTCATAGTTTGCCAGCTGCAAAAAAATCATAAATTCTTCTACTGTGTTTTCATATACGGTTTTTAAAGTGCATCATGCAAATTTTCCAAAAATTTGTTAGCCACACATAAATTTCATTAACGTGAATGGTGTGAATGGGCTGTGCTGCAGAGTATGGGCTTGGGAAGAAGCCATCAAAAGCAGGGGATGTATACAGCTACGGAGTAATGTTGCTAGTGTTGTTTACCGGGAAGAGTCCAACACATGAGAGCTT